AGTAGTTATGTTTTTTTATTATGCTTCTGCTTGGTAAAGATTATGGTAGGAAAAAACGGATTATGGTAGAAATGTAGTCATCTTAACCCGGTTAAGTTGTGTTTGTTTCGGTTGCAATGGAATCTTTGCAGCCTACAATTGTACTTATAATCCTTAGAATGCCTTTTAGACCTTACCTCTACTTGCTCTCTGTTTCTTGTCGTACTATATGCTTTGTGTGTTGCTCGAGTCGGGGGTCTTTTTTGGAAACAACCTCTCTACTTTCAAGTAGGGGTAAGGTCTTTGTACACACCCCCTATAGGCAACACTATCTCATATTTTTCTACTTCATCGGTTCACCAAAACTCTTCCTTTTTCGTTTTTACGTGCAAAACCCCATCTTTTAAAAATAATTTTATTTATTTAAAAACTACATTGAAAGTTCTACAAAATAAGTGGTGATAAGAAATTTTATTTTATCAAATGACTAATAAAAAAACGCAAACAAAAGTTATCGAACACCCTTGAATAGTAAATAGGAAGGGTTTTGGTGAACAGAGGGAGTAGAAATTTTTTGCTTGTTCCAGATTTTGATATCTTGTCCGTATACACACTGATGAGTTTTGCACATTTTGAAGCTTTGGTCCAGTGAACTTGTTCTGGAGCACGCGCTATGACAAGGCCATGACCTTGTTCTTGAATTGCCTCAAGGAATTTGCTGATTTTGCAAATGGTAAAGATAGAGAGAACAACATTCCTCCTGACAAATGTTTTAGGCTTCCCTACAAGTAAATTTCTATCTATCTGACCTTGAAGCATTTGCATTTTTATTGTTTGAGAAATGATGCTGCTTTTATCTTCTTTTATGGAACTCGTGAATCATGATTAAGCTTGAAGCCTATCCCTCTAAACTGTCATTGCTAATATGATTTTGAAGCTCGTGAATTGGAGATACATTTTGGACCTGTTTGGGTAACCAGAATTACTAGGGAAAGAACACATGAACAAAAAAATATACTCTGTATAAAAATTGAAATAAAATCTTAGGATAATAAATGTACTTTTGATATTTATTGATACTCAACAACAACAAAACCCAGATTAGCATGCTCTGTAATGAGCATGTTGGTTGTATAGATGATCAAGATTAAATTGCTTCGTAAGGTGGCAACATTCTGATGGTCCATGTCCTCAACATGCTCATTATAAATCATGTTGACATGTTCTCTATATTATTTGATAAGGGTTTGGAGAGTTAAGGTGTACCGTGCCTTAGCCGTGTAAAAATCAGAGATATTGTTTTCGTTAGACCTTGGTGTACTGCTGCAAATACTGATTATTATTCAAAAGTTCATCGAAAGTAAGAAACAAAAGATGTTTAAATAGCCATTTTGTTCTAGTCCATTTGAATATTTGTTGAACTCGTTTTTTCTTTATTCATTTCTACTCTATAAATACTAAGAATTTTAAATATATGTAAAAATTTGAAGAAACATCAGAAATTACTTGCATTCTATGGTACCTTTCCCCCCTTTCCCTAGCATTTTAAGGAATTGTGCAAATTTTATGAATTGAACTTCAAGTAAATTCCTTAAATGGTCTTTTGTAACAAAGGGTATTTCGTAAATAGTCTCCTATTTCAAGAAATTACATTCGTGATCCTCAATATTTGAGAATTATTCTATATTTAGTCCTTTGAGAGCTATATATGGAAAACAATATTTAGCCCAAAGGACTGATTATGGAAAATTCTCAAATATTGAGGGCCACAAATGTAATATCTTAGATTAGGGACTATGAACTTGTTCTTTTCATCTAATCTGATTAGAATAAGTTATTGTTTGATTTTCCCCGAATTGATTGTAGTTATATTTAAAGGTGCAACAATAATAAGTAACAAGCAATTAGAATAAGTTGAAGAGAACAAGCTTTATATATGGAAAACCCTCTACTAGAATGGACCATTTATGGAATTCACTCTTTGAACTTCTTTGCAAATGTCATTATGTTGGCGTCTTCAAAGTGTCAAAAACCCGGGGGATTCCTTGTACTAGCATGCTAATATTGTATTTTAACTGCATGTATGTATCTTATTGTTCTCGCAGGATTGAGAGCGACAAAGTAGAAAACTGCTCAATCACCCAAAGCTTTAACAAACAGGAAAATTGGACCAAAGCACTCAAGTACACCCTCTGTAACTTGAAATGGGCGCTATACTGGTTTGTGAGGAACACAAACTTCCAACCTCTTTCCTCCCCTGCTGCCGCCGCCCCCTCTTCTCAACCAGGTGCAAGTTCTACATAGTATCAAAGACTATACCTGATCCAAAATATACATGTGTCTCATATGTGTGAAGTACATCAATATTGACAGTTTAATCATCCAGCATTGTAGATTTCATTGTAGATTTTGTAAATAAAAATCTATCCTCGCCGTGGTCTTCTTTTAATGTTCGCCTTCGCTCTTGAGCTCATTACTCATTTTGTGTTGCGATGTCTTGTACTCCAACTATTTATGATTAATAAAAGATGAATTGGCCCGTCTTTCAACTTTTTCCCTTGTTCTGCTGTGTTACTTTTGCTATGAGTTATAGGCCATGTTCTTTTTATCAAATTTGATTAGTTCTGATATGATTGGAATATGTTCTGGTCTAATCTGATCTAAATGTAGTTACTCCTTCCGTCCCAATTTAAATCGTCTATTTTGAATTTTGGGCATATTTAAGGAAAATAAAAAATATAATTGATTTTTTCGAAATTGTCATTACTTTTTAGGAGGGGTGACGATGAATGAGAAGATAAAGTGGAGAAGAAAGACTTATTTTAGGGGTAGTTTAGATATTTTATTCATAAAAGTTTACGATAACAACTAACATGCAATTTATTTTGGGACGGAGAAAAAAGGCAAACATGCAATTTAAAATGGGACAGAGGGAGTATATTTTAAGCTATTTTTGATCCAATCTGATCTGATTTTAATCAAAATAAGTAATAACTAAAAAAATAAGTTGAGGAGAACATTGCCATTCTTTTGGAAATAGTTTCTTCAATGAATATGTAGGGATTTCACAAGGTTCGTGTATTCCAACCTTCTCTAGACTAGACCTTATTCTGTGACATTTTTATTGGGGTTATCTTAAGATTAAATAATTATATATAGAAAATAATAAAAATGTCTTAAGATTAATTGGTCCCTTAGGTAGTTGTATTCATTCAATTGACATATTTATAAAATCACCCGGTTTCTTTCACATTGCTAAGCAATGCTATGTGATGACCCGAGATACGTACGATACTCCGTTCGTAACATTGACGGTTCCTATCCCTCTTAACTCTCCAGGTAAACCCTCTTTACTCCGCCCCGCCATGAACCCACCTCTTTAATTGCATCTCCCATGTTTAATTGACTTTGGAGTCTATAAAATTCTTTGTTTTAAAGCACAATGCACTGAGAATTTGAACAGAATATTCCTTTCATCTCACACTTAACTTCAAAGTTTTATTTTATAAATTTGTGAATAATGTGAGAAAGTGAAAGATATGTAAAAAAAAAAGTATAATAAACAATATACTTGGGCTTAAATTGGGAATTGGGGGTTGAATTGAAATATATGTAGTTGAGGTTTATTTATAAGAGCAGCTATTCTTGGCTTATAAACTCGGATACTTCTAATAAGAAAGAGATTTGGTGGGTCAAGTGGATCCATAACAGAGATATTAAACAATCTGATTTTTGGAGCTATACTCCTAAACATGACTCTCTCCCCACTATTAGAGAGACAATATAAAAATAAGAGATTTTTTTTCAGAGATATGCCAAAAGGACAGCAGATTTGGTGTTAAAAAAAGATAAAGAATGGCTTCAGGATTTGGGCAATGTACCTAAATGGAAGAAATGGGTATGGAACCAAATGTACCCCTTCTACAATGCCTAAATACACTAACACTATGTTTGGTTTAAGGAATTCAGAAGGAAAAGAAAAGGGAATTATTTTCTCTCATTTTCCTCACTAGAATGTGAGAAATCTGATTTTTCTTTCTCTTTCTACATCGGCTTTTCATTTTCTATTCCTTCCACTTTTCTTTTTTTCTTTTCTCTCCAACCAAACAAGAAAAACTATTTTTCATATTATTTTCTTTTTTTGATCTTCCAAATTCTTTGAAGCAAACATAGTGTAAGGGTCCGTTTGGTACACGAAAGTGATAGAATTGAATTAGAAATTGAAATTTTAGGGAATTATTTCTGATGGAATTGAATTCTCCAATTCTAATTCATTTTTGGCACTCCATCAATTCTAAATCCACATATTTTTGTGCTACCAAATACTAGAATTAGAATTATTATCCCAATTCCGTAATTTAAATTCTATGTACCAAACGGAGCCTAAAGGTCCGTTTCATACACAGAATTGATGGAATTGGAAATTGAAATTCAATAGAATTGATTCTGATGAAATTGAATTCTCCAATTCTAATTTATCTGTGGCACTATCAATTTCAAATGCACATATTTTTGTGCTACCAAATACTAGAATTGGAATTATTGTCCCAATTCCAATTCCATAGTTTAAATTTCGTGTACCAAACGGAGCTTAAGGGTCCGTTTGGTATATGGAAGTGATGGAATTGAAATTGAATTGGAAATTGAAATTCTATGGAACTACGTTATCCAATTCTAATTCATTTTTGGTACTAGCAATTCCAAATCCACATATTTTTGTACTACCAAGCACTAGAATTGGAATTAGTGTCCCAATTCCATAGTTTAAATTTTGTGTACCAAACAGAGCCTAATCTGTTTGTTACACGAAATTCAAATAATGGAACTAGAGTTGGGGAAAATAATTCCAATTTTACTGTTTGGTAACACAAAAATATGTGGATTTGGAATTTGTAGTGCCAAAAATGTATTGGAATTGGAGAATTAAATTTTTTCAAATCAATTCCATAGAATTTCAACTCTCAATTCAATTTCAATTCTGTCAATTCAGTGTACCAACCGGACCCTAATGCTTGACCAATTTGAACAGATAGTTCCCACATTACAATAAAAAGATCCATTTTCACCAAACCACCATCTGATCTAATGGTGCATGCTATACGAAAACAAAAAGAAAATTACAAACCCAATTACTCTGTACAAGGAGAGCCCCACTGAACCCACCCTTTGCCCAGGAACTTGCACATATAGATGTATATAAACATGAAGAAACAAGGGAAAGACTACCCATTTTGGCTAAATCCACTCCTTTTATGATAAATGGACGATTTTGCCCTCAAAAGTTGGCTTACATCTAATGCCCCTCTTTCATATTTTTAAGGGTAATAATTTTCTATTTACCATTAAAGGGAGTGATTTAGCCAAAATGAGAGTGACTATAGCAACACCGACCCTTTCCATTATTTTTATTATTATTATTATCATTATCATCAAGAATTCGCGGCAGATTTTTCGAACGTGGATGGTTCTGCATCAACCAGCATGTTCACAACCTCTTTCATGCTGGGGCGTAGACTCGGGAGCTTCTTGACGCACATCATTGCAATTCTCAGCACTTTGATCATCTCGTTCTCAAGACCCGTCACTCCAATCCTTGGGTCAAGAATCTTGATGACACTCTCTCGGTCATCGAGCTGAGAAGAAACCCAATAAACTATATCCTTCCCTTCTCCATAGCCATCTTCTATTGGAGCTCTACCTGTGACTAGCTCCAGTAACACTACTCCAAAACTGTACACATCATTCTTCTCGGTCACTCTCAGAGTGTATGCCATCTCTGCACATTCACACAGACATAATAATGCTTATGAAAAAGTGGATAATATACACACACACACACACACACACACACACACAAAGATTGATTGATCAGTTCTTTTATGCGGTTTGGAAGCTTACTTAGGATCTGTTCCGTTTAACTTAATTTTTCAGCTTATGACTTATTAAAATCGGATTAGACCAGAAACAACTTTAAATATAACTACAATCATGCGAACGGAACGCAGCCTTACCCGGAGCCATGTAACCGTGAGTGCCAGCAAAAGAAGTGAATTCAGATCCCACCGAAGAAACATCTGCGATCTTTGCAATCCCAAAGTCAGAAACCTTTGCCTCGTAGTCCTCATCAAGGAGAATATTGGTTGATTTGATGTCTCTGTGGATAATAGGAGGGGAACAATGATGGTGTAGGTAAGTGATTCCTTTAGCAGCTCCAAGAGCGATTTGGTACCTCTGAACCCAACTCAGGTCTGGCTTACCAATGTGAAGTGCCTGGAAAAGATTGCCATTTGGCATGTACTCGAATACCAAGATATTTGAACCTTCACTCATAAGACTTGCATAAAGTTTCACTATATTTCGGTGCCTGATCTTCCCTAGAATCTCCATTTCTCTACTCGAAACCTTCACTCCATTTCCCACCCAGAGTTTCTTCACTGCAACTGTGCCATAACTTTTCTTCAAATCCACCCGGTACACTTTTCCCGTTCCCCCACTCCCAACCAAATGGTCTTCATCCAAATTGTTGCATATTTCATCTGCATCCAGCTCTATTTTGTGGAAGCTTTCAAGTTTCCATTTCACCTTGAGATCCTTTGTTTCCGTCGGGTGTTTCTTTGTGTCCATATCATCACTATGGTTGTAGTTCCAGTAAGTCGTGACCAACAACACACCCAAGAAAACAGCTAAAGAGAACAAAACAATGAAGAGAACAAACAACCTTTTCATCACAGTTCCACGATGAACGCGATTTCCTTCACACACACTTAACACTGTGTTGGATTGAGCTCTGACTCCTTGATCGATACACAGTCTTTCGTTTCCAAGAAATGCCCTTTCTCCACCCATAATCCAAACATCGCTTGAAACTTCCCCAGACAGCTGATTGTTAGAGAAATCAATGGAAGATAGTTTCAGATTGTTCAAGTTCCTCGGGATTGGGCCAGTAATCTTGTTGCTAGAGAGATTCAGGGAGTTCAGAGAGGTGATCAGAGTTATCGAATCCGGGATGCTTCCACTAAGAAGATTTGAAGCAAGGTTTAGATCTGCCAGCCTTGGACATTGACCCAACTCTGTTGGTATTGATCCTATGAGGGAGTTCTTCTCCAAATGTAAAGAAGATATTTGCCTTAACAAGCCAAGTTCAGATGGTAATGGTCCGGAAAAGTCATTGTCATCCAAATAAAGCTTTTGCAGTTGTGTGAGTTTGCCAAGTTCTTTTGGGAGTTCGCCCGAGAATTTGTTGTTCGACAATATTAAATGGTCCAGGTTTGTAGCAGTCCCGATTGCTGTAGACATATGCCCGGTGAAATTGTTATTGCTGAAATCCATCATATTCAGGCTTGGAAGTGCCCACACCCCTTCAGGTATCTTTCCAGAGAATTGATTATTTGTGAGCCTGAGCCTCTCTAAGCTCTTACAGGAAGCATAGGTCTCTGGGAATTCCCCAGAGAATCTATTTTCCACTGTGAACAACTTCTGCAAGTTCCCATTTTGGCACAAGTATTTCGGGAATGCACCCGAAAACCCATTCTCTGAGATGTCTATGACATTCAAGGGAGAATACCGCCCGAGATTTTTGGGGATTTCTCCGGTAAAACTATTCATGTAGACAGAGAAGGCAATGAGATTCTCCATCTCTCCAAAACCCGGAGGGATTTCTCCCGAGAAATTGTTCCTGAAAACGTGGAAAACTGTCAAGTATCTCAACTTCCCTAACCCAGGAGGGAGAGTCCCATGCATTTGATTGTTGGAGACATCAAGTTGTTGTAGAAGGGTGAGGTCTCCCAGTTCTGGTGGGAGTTCTCCAGTGAGATTATTTTGATAGAGCTCTATTTGCAGGAGACTTTTCATGTTCCCAATCAACTTGGGGACAATCCCTGTAATCTGATTCCTGCAAATATCCAGTGTTTCTAGTGCTTGCAATCCAAATATCGAGTCCGGGATTTCCCCTCCCAGATTTGAACCAGCTAGGTACAGCCAAGTCAGGTTTTTCAGATTTCCGAGGCTTTCAGGAATCTTTCCCTTATCGTAGTTGTTATCGCCAAGGCCTAGTGACACCAAACTAGTCAGATTTCCAACCCATGATGGGAACTCTCCAGAAAAGTAGTTCACTGACAAGTCAAGAATCTCCAAGCCAGTTATCATGGACAGATTGGGTATATTTCCATTCAAGTTATTCCCTGACACATTCAAAACTTTGAGATTGGGGCAACTGGCCAATTCGCCGGGGAGAGGCCCAGATAATGAATTAGAAGGTAACACTACTTGAGCAAGGCTCTTAAGAGCAGTAATGGATGGAGATATCACCCCTGACAGGTTCTTCGAGTCGAGGAAAATTCCTGTGACCAAACCGGTTTTTTTGTCACAAGTAATTCCATCGAACTTGCAAGGGGAGTATGAGTCTTTCCAAGAATCCAAGCATTTCTGAGGATCACTAAGCTTATTTTTGAATTCAAGAAGGGCCCGAGTTTCCACACTCTGAGGCATGGATGGAACAATCAGTAAAAATGAGACAATCACAAGAATTATGCACACTAACTCTCTTTTCCTGGCCATCGTGGAAGCTGAATGAGGCAAAATGGTCATATCACAACAGAAAAACTAATTCAAACCCAAAAAAGTTCTCCATTGTGCCAATGTGAGCCCATCCACAGAGTACCTGAAACTCAAAAACATAAGAGCAACAGTATATCAAGATCAAAACAGTAAAAAGAGCATATAATTTGTGAAAATGAAAAGAACTCACAAATCTTTCCTGTAAAGTGAAGTCTACGTTTCTGTTCAAAAAACAATATATGCCCAACCAAATACCACAGCTGTGGACCAGTTTTGAATAGAACAAAAGAAAAGCACACACACCCTTTTTAGCTGTCTTTGTAGTGAAAAGAAAACAGAAATTACTTATACAAAGAGTGAGCCATTTTTGGGGGTCTTTATTAGAAGTTTCAGAATTTATGCTATATTATAAAATAATGTCACTAGTTTCACCAAACATTCACATAAAAAACATTTAAAGAAGTGAATAGAAAGAGAGATGCATAATTTCATGAAGCAGATTCATTTGCAAACACCCACACCAATCAGTGGCAGAGACACTGAAGTCCTACCTAAGAAATAGTAATAAATTGGGGAAAAAATTGTTGCCTGAAATGGGTACTTCTCCTTCTCGTTGTGGCAACCTTTCCCTTTTATTCTTTCTCAGTAATCAAATGGAACTCCAGAGCAAAATGAGGGAGGAAGAGAGAATGGGCATGAATGAACTGGAGAACAACACAGGCTGGGAAGGAAGTCTGGAGAATTGCAGACTTGTAAGAACTGGAATGGGAAACAAAGTTTCAAGAAATCTTGGAACATGGAAGAAAGAATCAAGAGATGAATCTTGGTATTGGTTTAAAGAGCAGATTTTGAAGAAATAAAGATAACTTTTTTCCTCCTATACTGCGAAAGGTGAGTGTTTGGTTCCTCTTTTTTTTTTTTTTTTTTGGGGAAAAGTTTGGATTGGAATTGGGTGTGGAAAGTGACAAAGGAAGAGATGGAGAAGTGGAAGGGAAATGAATGAATGTGGGGACCACCACAATGAGAAGAGGCGAAGAGGTTAATGAGTGGGAGAAGAATTGAAGGAGACTGACTACTGCATGTGCGGCTGAGTGGTTCTGTGCTCGTCACTTTTCCTTTTTTTTGTTTTCATTCGGTTTATTACAATCACAAATCAGAGTAGCACTACTCCCTCTACATTAAAATTAGTTTTATATTTCATCCATCTCACAATGAATTATAGGGACTCCTATATTTATTATTGTAAAAGGCAATTGATATCTACACTCCATATTTTATTAGTTGCACTTCACTTTTTTTATTTTTTAAAAGATTGACAATTTTGCCCTATCAATTACAAATACCTCATTTTCATCATCCCTTTACATCATTAATATTTATATTAACTATTTAACAAGATTTATAATTTTGAGGATTAAATTATACTAATTTATACTTATTTTTTAGGGAAATACTTATTTAACAAATTTTATAATATTGTTGTAATTTTTGTTTATGTATTTAGAAACACACCAAATAAGTATTTTAATTAGTGCACCGTATCATAAAGTCGTAAAATAAAATAAAATATACTATAATTAATTGAAAATTTTCAAAAAACGCAATTCTATCAAAGAATTATTATCACATTTTTCTCCCACACTTTTGAAAATTGGCATGGAATAAAAAAAAATTACATTTTTAAAAATGTATCAAATGTTCTACGAAACCAGAGGTGATATTACGGAGTTCTATATTGTTTTATCAAATAAGTAACGAGAATAAGAAAAAGAATAATTAAGAAAAATGTATATATTCAGTTATAACTTAAATTTTATTTTTCTCAATAAAATTTTATATTGTTTTGATCACGTTTTGAGAAAAATGTATATATTCAGTTATAACTTAAATTTTTTATAGTTGGTTTATTTGAAAATATATATTTTATCCATCAAATTTTTATAGTTGAAAATTTATTTATGTACAAGCATAATAATTTATGGCCAAAGTATCGTTTTGTAAAAACACAAATGTAAAGATCTTTTTTAGATTAACAAATTAATAAATAAGCATGGAGTATTAATTAAATTATAATGGCACTCCACATTAATACTTTGGCACTCCGTACTTATTTATTAATTTGTTAATCTTAAAAAGATCTTTACATTTGAGTTTTTACCAAACGATACTTTGGCCAAATTGTAAAGGGATGATGGAAATGATGTATTTGTAATTGATAGGGCAAAATTGTCAATCTTTTAAAAAATAAAAAAGTGGAGTGCAACTAGTAAAATATGGAGTGTAGATATCAATTGCCTTCTAAAACTATCTTCCCGTTTGTGTTTACGAGATTTGACCAACTTTATTTTTAATTCAATTTGTATGATTGTAGGTGTAAAATTAACAAAATAAATTTATATAATTAAAAACTACATCAAAAGTTCTACAAAACAAGATGTGACAAGACTATATTATTTTATCAATAACTAACAATAATAGGTAAAGAAAGTGATTTAAGTTTGACCGTGTGAATAGTAACTGGGAAGATAGTTTTAGGACAGGGGGAGTATTCACTTCCTTCCTTCCTATTTGTTTGCCACATTTTGATTTACGAGGTAAGATTTTAAGTTTTTTTCAGTTCATTTTATTTAAATATTGTTATATAATAAAAAATAAAATTTACATATTTAAAAACTATATGAAAAATTCTTTGAAATAAGAGGTGTCAAAAGTATTTTATTTTATCAAGTAATCAATAAAAATGTACAAATAAACAAAAGTTCTCGCGATTGTTGAAAAAACAAATGTTGTATTCTTTTAGAGACAGATGGAGTAGTATTTAAAAATCACATAAACTTTCTATTTTTATTGATTGTTTAATAAAATAAAATATCTTTTTCACTTTTTGTTTTGTAAAATTTTTGATATATTTTTTAAATATGCAGGTTTTATTTTTTATTTTTAAACTAATCTTTAAAATAAAATAAATTGAAAAAATTGCGTAAATTATATATAATTCATTTAGGGATTAGTCATTTATTGCAAAATATATTCTTTTTTAAGGAGAGATTAAGATTAAATCATTTCGTGGATTTCACCTAGTTTCGAGCTCTAGCAGAGGTAGAGGCATTGGTTTGTGAAATCAAATAAAAAAATTATTTGATGACAAGACATTATGTCATGAAAAAACTAGAAGAAAATAGAAAAACTAGAACAAACTAAAAAACAAGAAAAAACATCAAAAATTTATTTAAGTAAGTTTTACATAATATTATTATTATAATTGTTATTGTATTGTTATTATTATTATTATTATGATTATTATTATTATATCCATAAAGGTAATGAAAATGAATAAATTTTGACTACATAAATAATGTACATGTCATTTAATTCGGGACAAAGAAAGTAGCATAATTATTACGGAGTATTTTTAAATATAAAATATTGATATTTTTTCCAAGTCAATTTAGATTAATAAAATATCCATAATTTTTAGAACATAGCTAAGTGTCATGTAATTTTTTTCTAAAAAAGAATCTTTTCCAATAAAAATATACTTCTTGTTATTTGTTTTAAAAATGGAAGAAAAAATAATTATTGAGTATAAATCACAAAATAGAGACATGAGAAAAATAAAACTAGAAAAATTGAAATAATTTATAAGCTATAGTTATAATAATAATAATGCATGAAAACATTTTTTTGAGTCATTATTTGGGAGTAAAAAATATTGAAGAAAATGAGAATAGTTAGGAAAGTAGAAAAAACTGGAAAAAAATTGAAAAAAATTGGAAAAAACTAGAAAAAAATTAAAGAAACCAGAAGTTAAATGTTTAAGCTCTAAATAAAATGTTCTTAGTAAAATTTAACAGAGTGGGTGGAGTCATTAAAGTATTTTGAAATTTTTATAGGCCTTCAAATACGTAGAAAAGAGAAACATTTTTAGTAAATGAATGAAATAATGTGAAATTTATTTTTGACTAACAAAAACAGAAGTACAGAATAATATTTTGTATTCCGTCTCATATTAATTTGATTAGACCTGACAACACAGATACGAAACAGATTAATCTAGTTGAATAACTCAAAACCAAATTCGAAATGAACGAAAATAGAAGATCTACTTCGTAATATATAATTGAAAAATCGAGATGGTTCGAACGAACTAGAATCGAGGTAGATATATTCAAATTCACTCCAAAATCAATTAAATCCAAAATGATTAGACCCGAAACAAATAAGTAAAATTAGAAGAAATGGAGTATAACACAAACATCAATCCAGGTAAAAACCAACAAAAATTTGGAAAGAATTTTTGTATGTAGACTTTATCCCTACTCAAAAGTAGACTTTATCCCTGTTCAAAAATAGAGAGACTCGTTCCAAAAGTGGGAGTATTAACTACTCCATATTAATTGCAATATCTTTTTGAATATACTTTAAAAAAAGATACAAAAGTTATAAAGTGAGATTTATGCATAATAGTGCGAATCCGGCCCGAATAATTCGTAGGGTAGTGAGATGGGAAGGAAAGGGTGCCGACAAAAATTAGAGCAAGGAATCAATGAATCATCAAAGAAAACACAAAAAAAATACACCCGCTCTCTTGGGGCCCACTGTTTTGAGTGAAAGAGAAGTAGACCCAATCCAAGATGGGTGTATCTGACCCGCCCGGGAAAAAGACTGGGCTTAATTCTTTTTTCGGATAGGAGGGAGCCAGCCCAATCTATAGTAAAAAGGGACTCGCAAAATTGTGAACCAGGCTAGAAGAGTTTTATGGTCAAGCTCGGGAAAATATTTTCTCTTTTATTTTTTCTACTCCCAATTTAAACAATTTTATTTTTATTAAAAAATTATTGTTACCTTTACCTTTTCATACCTTACGTATCACATTATACTTTTTCTCTAATAATCTATCTATCACATCTTACTTTTACCCATTATATCAAAAGTAAAATTAGAAGTCAACTACTCCCTCCGTCCCCCATAGATCTTCCCATTAGCCTTTTTTATTTATCCACCATAGATCTTCTCATTACCTTTTTTAACCATTAAAATACAACAACTACCCTCACTTACTTTATTTATTACTCCTCACCCACTTCATTTAATACACTTCACCCATTTTCATTAAGGGTATTATGGTAAACTTTTACCTTTTTTCAACTCTCCTTAAAAACCACAAAAAATCAAAACGAGAAGATCTTAGGTGGACGCAGAGAGTATAATTTAACATTTCATTATTTTTTCACTTGGTCGAAATTGAAAACTTTTTTTTTAGAATCGAGGGAGTAATAATAAGGTTGGACGGTGATGGGTGTATTTCACCCAAGACCGGTCAAAGGAGAAGGCCAAATCTTTGACCGGTCAATCTCGAAAGTTTTGGAAGGGAGGCTTAAATCGTCAGCAAAACGATATATCATCGGCCAAAATATGACCGG